GCCCCCTCCCCACGGGGGATGTGCCCACAACCAAAGTACATGCCCTTGACCGGAATCGAACCTGGGACCTCTCAGTCCGCAGGCCGATGCTCTATCCACTAAGCCAAACCAGTTTCAGCTAGTTAAGGGGTTTTATTCCCTCCCTAACTCCAGGGAAAAATCCTCACCTGGGGAAACAACCTTTCTGGGAGAGGTGACCTTGGTTAAAACACATAGCTCCAATTAGGGGAGCAAACATATGCCATATACACCAGGTCCCTTGAAACATAAGCTGTGCAGATGTTTCTTCCCTGCAGCGACTGTGTCAAGCAGCAAGGGTGGGTCGGCTTCCGGCACTACTTGAGAGGGAGTGTTTAGAAAAAGCCTCTGTGAATATGATACTTAAACTGAGAGAATAAGGAGCCAGGCTTGAGGGTGATGGTGAGGTAGAGGGCCAAAGGGAGGAGGGATCAGGGCATTCTAGGCAGAGGAAACAGTGAAGTGCAAAGGCTTTAAGGCAGGGATGAACTTGCCATGTGTGAAGAGCAGAGAGAAGCTCAGTGAGCTTGAGGCTTAATGAATTGAGAAGGGAGTAGGACAGAAGAGCTTAGCTAGTCAGAACCTCCATTCTGCATCCCTTTACATGAGCCTAAGGAGTTTTGACATTGCTTGTAATGCAAAGCCATTAAAGCAGAGATAATACACAGAAAGTCAATAGTCTCTCCCTTAACATATTTTATGCCCAGCACAGTGTTTTGCCAACATTTCATTTCAAAATAGGGTGATTTCATATAGAAGTCTAGATTTGCAGCTTATCATGAAAAAAGCTGAAGATCTCTCCATACTAGACTCCAACTGTTTGGTGAGGCTGGGTGTAGTCCAATGTTGAGATTTTGCCAGACAAGTGCAAAGAAGGCGGGGGGCGAGGGGATTGGAGTTGAAACTCTTTTCAAGGGAATGATTATAATGCTAAAGCACAGAGTCGAAGAACTGAAGACTGGAGGGGGCCGATGAACAGGACATGGCTCAGTGGCTTGGTCCTCTTAAGGAGCTCAAAGAATTGTTGCTGTAAGTGGAGGAATGAACTGCTTCAATGTCCTTCCTTCATGGCAGCGCCGAACCCACACTGCAGCTGCGATCATTGAAATCACAAAGTGATCAGCTTCCCTGGAGCACAAGGGAGAATCCTTCAGTCCCCACCCCTGCCCCATGGGGAGCACTCACGCCTGGAAAAAACTGCAAAGTGCAGAGAGGTCACCGTTGGGTTATCTCAAGACGGGTGGGAGCCCCCCTCCACCCCCAGGCGACGGAAGGAGGGAATAGCCGGTCGTTCGGACACTCCCAGGCGGGAGTTCCCTACAGGTAGGGAACCCCAGCTATCAATCAATCCTTCAGTCCCCACCCCTGCCCCATGGGGAGCACTCACGCCTGGAAAAAACTGCAAAGTGCAGAGAGGTCACCGTTGGGTTATCTCAAGACGGGTGGGAGCCCCCCTCCACCCCCAGGCGACGGAAGGAGGGAATAGCCGGTCGTTCGGACACTCCCAGGCGGGAGTTCCCTACAGGTAGGGAACCCCAGCTATCAGCCAGCGCGGCGCCCCCAACAGCTAGGGGATGATCCGCACC